AAGGGGGAGGGTAAATTGGGTCACGGGGATCATTTGTATGATGGAGAATGGAAACTAGACTTTTGATGGCACGTTTTCTATAGAGAGAGATGGATGTCAAATTGTACTGTACACCTAAAACTGATATAATGTTATAAACCAAGGTCATGTCAATAAAAAATAGGACACCCTTCAAGAAACCAGTGTGTTACTGGAATACTAAACCATTTCCAACTAAAAGCTCTTCTGTGTATATAGTTCTGTAGTCGATCACTGGCTTCTAAGACATAATATTTGCATTTTAAACTACCTGTGAGTAATGCAAAGTTCCTTGTTTTGTAATAATTTGTACTTATATCATGCAAAGACTTAAATCACAAACCAAGGCACTCCTGAGCACAATGTGGGGTTGGGAGAAAACTTCCCAGCTCATACTCCTGCTCCCTCTCTGTGTCTCAGCCTAAAATTGTAGTCCTTCAGTGGAGAACTAGTTAGTTCACTGATTAATTTTAAATAGATTTGCTGAGCCTTTCTAGTAAGTCAGGCAATTCTTCTCAGCTTTGGAATTAAGCTTTATTGTTCTATAAAATAATAGCTCTTGTTAAGAAAGTTCTTTAAAAATATTCCCTGTTCCATTCTACTGCAGCCCATGCAGAATGGAGGTTTAGTGATAACCTCCAGTACAGAGATTTATGGGGCTTCCATTTACCAAATGGCCTTCCTAAAAGGGTAGGGCCCCTGTCAGATAAGACTGTCCTCTCTACCACATGAGAGCTATGTGCAAAGCCAGATCCCCCCCTCTTCCTCCTGGATATTTATATTCTTTACATGCCTGCAATGTGATCTGCATACAGTAGACATTGTAAATAAATTATCAGCTGAATTGAAATAGCATAGCACTAATAGATAAACATGAAAATGGGGGAAATTTACAAGAACTTATAATCAATAGAGACTATTTTACATTGCACTGCATTAGGAAAATAAGTGGGGCGTGCCTCTTCTGTGAAGACTTCCTCAGAGAGCTCTCTGGTGTGGAATGTGCCAGAGGGGCAGTGGCCTCTACGGCATCTCAACCTTTATGAGCCTACTCACATCATCAGACTTTCCAGAGGGTGACAAAATGGCCACTGGACACTATACATTCAGTTTAAGACTCTACAGGACTGAAGTAGTTTCTTAGGAGACACACTTCATACATGAAGAAGTGTGAGTAGAAAGAAGAGTTTTATTCAAAATTTATGAGTTCTCTCCCATGCCAAGGTTTTCTAGAGGAAACTTTAATACATTTCTCTGATCCCAGAGCTAGTTACTAACTGCTTTATAACTTTATGTCACTTATTTTTACATCTACTTATATTTAATATATGTTTTTATATAAAAATATATAGATTTATAAGTATATATAAAAAATATATAAAAAACCTTTTATGCCCCCTGGATTTAGATTGCTTCCCCCTTCAGAATATTGTCTTATTAAAACACCCTCAGGATCTATAAAAAGCTGAAGCCAAAATGCAGTTGGCTCCCCACCAGCAGTCCTCTGTGGGACACCACACTCCAGTGTGGTCTCTGGATTCTCTCTAGAGTTCTTTCAGACCACGCCTTCCCCAAGAAACAGCTTCTCACAGGCTGCTCTGAGCAACGTGCACTTTGCATGGTGTTTTAATCAGTCTCCTTTCCTCCCAATACATTACTTGGTCATGGAAGACAAGGACTGCTTCTCCTGCTCCCTTGTGTTCACCTTCACAAAGCTTGTCATGCCACACCATGCTCGGTGAGCCCTCAAAGAAAGTAGAAGATAGAAACTGGCCCATTTTGGACCAGAGCAGTCCCAGACTCAGGGAGAGCTGCTGGAGCCAGGGAGACTCACCTTCCCCAGTGACTCAGAACAGGAAGTGACAGCGCAGGCAGGAGCATTGTGACAGTGTCACCTGCTGGCTCCTCTCCTTCAAGCTAATAGGATGGTGTGATCCTGGTGTCCCCAGACTGCTCTTCCATGGGCCCCACTACATTGTCTTTTTGAGAATGTACGACACATACTTCCCACCCCTGTAACTCTCTCCTCTCCTTCTTCTTTCCCCCCAGAGGTCTGAGATGAAAACTACTACAAAAATTTTGATTTAATATTAAAACCCTCCTACACCACATACAGGCGTGGTTTGGCTCAGAGTGCCTGCTAAGATCTTGGAGTGGGCAGGATTAAACACTTCCCAGCGTCACGCTCAAAAGCTGCAGAAGTTTCGGTTAAGCAGTTGCTGCTGGATTTTATTCTCATTTGAGACAAATTTTCTCTATTTTTCCCCAAAGGTATAAAAAGGCAACTCTCCACCTGTTTTACCTTATAAAGAGACCCATCCACTACTCTTCAAAAAACACAAATTTCCAATTTTCAGGGGAGCAAACAAACCTATTTCTCATGAGGCCACTCCCTTCTCTTATCTTGTTTAGTCAGGTGTCATTTAAGTGTTGGCAAAGGGGATTTGTGTTTAAATATTAAAATTCTAGATGTTTTCAGAGACAAACACTTAAATATCCTTTTTGGGTGCTAACTCCTCGGCAATAACTTTAATTTAACCAGAATAATAAAGTAAAGCAGAATGAAGAATCTTCCATTTTCAATCTCCAATATAATAAAAACTGCAGAGCTCTAAACAAGCACAATGCATTTAGTTTCAGAACCTGCAACCTAACAAGCTCTGCACGTGAACTCCCAGGGCAGTACCTCATCGACTTCCTTAATGGAGCTGAGGTCCAGCTCGGGTTCCGACTTGCGGCTGCCCAGGGATGCCGACAGAGCCTCCAGCGCCTGGTCGCTCATCGCATTCTGGGGAAAAGGAAAAATTCTATGCAATAAAGAACAATATCTCATCAGCCTGAACATCATCTACCTACTTCTTCATGAAATAAAACCTTCAAATATAGACAATGCACCATGGACTGGGAAAGAACACTTTAGGAAGATATTTCTACTAGAAATCTAGCAAGAGAATGAAAAAAAAAAACTTACCAGTAAGTGAATGTGGAGAAACGTTTCCACAGGACCAGTGTTTCCAGAGGTACACTTCCCCCCTTACTTAATAGACTAGAAGTTTAACTGTAACTTTATAAAGTACTCTTAGCAAAATAAAAGTTGCAAGATAGAAACTTCTGATTAAGACTGTCTTTTTCCAAAAATGTGACTTCTGACAGCCCTGTCCTTCACGAGTCAGCTAAGCCAGGAAACAGGGAACGCTGAAGTGGCTCTTGTCTGGAGGCACAATGGCTGGTGACTGCAGGACTCCCACTCTCAGGGGTGTGGTGGCTCAGCACTCCCACAGCCGGCCAGATAAAAATAAACTGTGTGCTCCAGGAGGGGAGAGGCAGAGCAGTGCCAACAGAAATTGCTCACTGCATCATTATCTTGATCGTCTGCAGACGGGATGTGCTTTTTATCCAGCCCAAGGCTGGAGGACCAGGGTTCCGGGAATTGAGAATGGACTGTGGGTCAAAGAGGTGGACAGAGCTATAACAACACCCCACTAAGTGAGTCACAGGGTCCAGGCTCCTTAAGGAAATCAAGTGGAAGATTTTATTCCTACAGTACAATTTCTCTGGGGCTCTTCCTTTTGTGTATTATGATATCATTTTACAACCAAGAAGTCTATGCTGAGATCAGTGGCAAGTATTTGAAGAAACAGAGAAAGCCTGGAGGTGACCAGTAGAAGGTTGAGAGGATTCACTATCCCCAGACCTGGAAAAGGTACTAACTGGATTCTCCAGATTGGCTAGATCAGGCTCAGGAGAGCCTCTGCTATCAGGATGGCTTAGTTATTTTCAAAGAAGAAAGCATGGATACCTTCTCCACCTTTCTTTTCTTCTCATGGGGTGGAGCGGCACTTCTGATGACACTGACTGACTGGGCTTTTAAGACTTCTCCTGTAGATTTCTGCAACACAAGATACAAATGATTAAATTTAGAGAGGAAGGAAATGTAACTGCAGTCATTAGAACAAAAAGTTGTGGTTCTAAAGTTGGAGGTGGTTTTTTTTTTTATTACAAAGTTTATTTTTACATCATTTTGCACATTTTTTTTTTTTTTTTTACATCTCGATTGTAATCCCCACGGGTTTCCCATCACCAAATCACCCCTGTGCCACCACCATAGTCTCGTGCATTTCCCTACCTTCTCGCCCCCCCCCCCATTTTTGATCCCATTCCCCACTCCACTCGCACAGAATGTCTCTGGTATATGGCTGTTCATTATTTTTGTTATTTTCTCGCCTGGTCCATTATACTCCTGCTATGAGTGAAACCATCCAGTATTTTTCCTTCTCTTTCTGGCTTATCTCACTAAGCATGATCTTTTCCAGCTCCATCCAAGTTGCTGCAAAAGACATGTGTTTCTCTTTTTTGGTTGCTGAGTAATATTCCATTGTATATATGTACCACATCTTTCTAATCCAGTCATCTACTTTTGGGCATTTGGGCTGCTTCCATGTTTTTCCAATTGTAAATAAAGCAGCAATAAACATGGGGGTACAAGTATCTTTTTCAATCAGTGTTTTTGTGTCTTTTGGGTAGATACCTAGGAGTGGGATTGCTGGGTCATAGGGAAGCTCCATGTTTAGCAGTTTGAGGAACCTCCAAACAGTTTTCCATAGTGGTTGTACTAGTTTGCATTCCCACCAGCAATGCAGGAGAGTTCCTTTTTTGGAGGTGGTTTTTAACAAGTGTTCTGTAATTACAGTGCAAACAATACCTCTTTCTCAGCCTGCTCCGCACCGGCAGTTGGAGAACTGCAGGTAAAGTCGGATGACAAGGAGTCTATGGCGTCGTCAGGTCCCATGGGTTTCTAGAGAAATAGCACCGGGATGAGTGACAGAGGGCATCACTCATGTGCAACAACAGATTATGAACCCAGCAAGTTAAGTGTACTTTTTGGTTGACTAGATGCACATTAGATACATATACATATAAGCATATGTAGGTAATGTTAACTGCCACCTTCACTGTGGGCAGGGAAGAGAAGACAAAGTAAGGCTTTGGGGGAGAGCAAGCAATTAATCACCAAAATTTAAAAGAAAATAAAAGTACGTCTGTTATTCCATGTTGACTGAGATATTTTAGTGAAATAACTCAGATATAAGGGAACAGGTGCTCAATAAATGCTAATTCCCTACCCTCTTCTAAATGTACCAGTAACGACATCCCTATTCTATTTTATTAAAATTTATTTTATCCTAATGCTTTTTTCCCCTTAAAAAAATATGAAACCACTGATGCTGAAACAATGATTTCTGTGACCAAATGAACTTCACTTGATTTAGAGACCAGTTTGGTCATTATCCCAAGATACAGCATAGCCCTCCTCCCCCTCCCAACCAGAGATATAAAAACAGTTAATTTGGCAGATATTTATGTAAACTCACCAAAGAGTCTGGAGGAGGCTCTGTAATCCCTTCTTTTTTCTGAAACAAACAATAATTTGATGATATTGAGAAGGAAAAATTAATCTTTACAATTAAAAAAAAATTGTTGTTCATAAGTGTGATGGTTGAAATGTGTCCTCTCAAAACACTGTTGAAGTCCTAACCACTAGTACCACAGATATGACTATATTTAAAGGTGGGGCTTTTAAAGGAGCAATTAAGATAAAATGAAGGCACAGAGTGATTGAATATAAAAAGGAGAAATACTACCCAGAGATCCACAGAGCTCGATGAAGATGAAGGTGTGTACACACAGAAGGTTTTCATACATAAACCAGGGAGGCCACAACAGATCCTTCCCTCACAGCCCTCAGAAGGAACCAACATTTATCTTAGTTTGATTCCAGTATTCCAGCCCTTTCAGAATTTAGATAATGTATTTCTGCTGTTTAAATCATCTAGTCTGTCATCATTTGTTATGGAAGCATGAGTGTCAAAAGTAATACAAAGTATGCACCATTGACTCTCCTACATTGAAAAAATGGTGATTATATTGATGTAGTAAAAATTACATACCAAAAGGAAACCAAAAATGTTTATTTAACTTACTGCCAAAAGTTCTCTGTACTTTGGAGGAATTGTGACTTCTCTTTTACCCAATTCCTCTATGTAAGTAGAAGTCATTGGATCCTGGAACAAAATCACACATATAAGAGATGATACAATGAATTAGCTGAGAATGTTATATAAATATGCTGAAACCAGAAGTATCCCATTATTAATTTAAGGAAATAATGAGATGAAATAACATTAAGAAGCTAATACTTTACAAGATCTCTGAAATATGAAAGTAATACTAATACTTGTCCATATTGCCCAATTTTATTCCATAAAATTTACAGAAAATATTCCTACCACTATGTTATTAAATTTGGTCCCTCTGTTAAAGTATATTTAAAAATGTTTTTAAATATTAAATGTTTTCAATACTTACAAAGTGGAGCTAGTAATTTTTTTTTAAGATTTATTTATTTGTGAATACAGAACTGAGGTATAGGCCAGAGGTGCAGAGGCAGTGAGAAGAGGCACAAGAGACAGAGTGGGGAGTAGAACAGGCAGATTGACAAAGTGCACTGCTGAGGGGAGCAGCGGGCAGGTCAGGAGAGGTCTGCCGTGCCATGTGGGTCACCTCCCTGGCCAGGAATCAAACGCATGCTGAAGTGGCTTTAGCTTCTTAATCCTATGCTTTAACCTGCTGAGTCACCAGGGAGGCCCAACAATAAATTTCTATATAAGCTAACATCTGTTTATCAGATCTATAGTTACTTTTATGTAAACTGTAAGTAAAAAACTCAGTGAGTCTATTGAGTATTCTTCCATACCATTCTTCTTCCTGTGACCCAGAAGTAGTCACCATCTTGACCTGCACCATATCTATCCACTTAAAACTAAGAATACTTCAAAAACATTCCACAGAAGGTATCCACAAATATACACCATTATTTCCTATTTTCAAATGTTGTGGAAATATTGTAATCTATGCATCACTGAGGAATATCAATTTTATTTAAAATTATGTGTTTGTAGCATCCATGTTGATTCATGAATAACCGTTCTAAAGTATTCTAAGGTATTCCACTACATTATCCCCTCTGCTGTTGAACAAGCTCATTTCCCATCTTTTCACCTGTTATTACAAGTTCTGGAACCCAGGTTCCTCCTTGGACTCTCTGAATGGAAATTTGTTGCTTGATGGGTGTGGACATCTTCATACCCACCAGTTCTAGGCAAACTGCCAAACTTTGGTATTTTGCCAATCTGATAACTAGAAAGTACTACCTCTTCACTTTATAATACCACTGTTCTATTTGCTAAGGAGGTTTTTCCTTTATTAGCCATTTTTTAAAAAAAATTTTCTTCTGGATTGCTTTTGGCTGACTTTTCTAAATTTTTCATAAATTCCTCACAAATTAAAAATCTTCACAAGCAAAAATCCTTTATCAAGTCTGTTGCAAATGTTTTCCACTCTGGCATGTCTGTCTTATTTTAATACCAAGGAATGTATGATGTTCTTTGTTTAGGAAAGGAAGTGAGGGTGAATGTTGAAGTGAGGGTGATAAATATCTAAAAATAAGTTCAAATCACAGCATGGGAAAAATCTGGAAAGCAAAATGAGTCCAAGTCTATCTCATAGCATGTTTTCAATAGGTAAGATAGAAATGACCCAAACACCAAAAAATAGACTATTGGATCAAGAAGATGTGGTATGTATACACAATGGAATATTACTTAGCAATAAAAAATGATAAATTCATGCATAAGCGGTAACATGGAAGGCACTGGAAGGGATTATGCTCAGTGAAATAGCCAGAAAGAAAACAAAATAAAATGGTTTTACATATAGAAGGAATGTTAAGAGAAGCAAATAAGGGATCAGGAAAAAAATAATTACAATAAATTAAAAAAAATTAACAGGCAGCTATAAATCAGTGACATTTTACAGGGGAGTGGGTGGGAGAGGGATCAAAATAGGGGAGGGAAGAGCACAAGGGACTACACTGATAGTGCACAGGTGAATTGGTGGGAATTTTATGGACTACACCTGAGAGGAGAAAGTATACATTGTACAAAATGGAAGGCTGATGTAAAATGTATACAAGATAAAAATGAGTTCAAGTCCATTGGCATTAATCTGAGGAAAGATAAGCCTGTGATCCCAGTCCATCTCAGCATAAACCACACAGTAAATATCTGCTGAATAAATGTAACACTGTAGCTGCCAGTAAATAAATTTCCATCCCAGCACTTATTTCCAGGATCTGCTACTGATCCTGACATCACCCAGTTTCCTTTAATTGACAAAACACCAGGGATCTTTGTATCATGACTGTGACCATATTTGTTCCCTACCCACTAAGTACAAATCTTCACAGATGCCAAAATCACATACTGAAATTTCAGGTCCAGTGTATGCTGTATTATCTTGTTCCACTTCTTCAGGTTCCCCTAATGTGTCTATTAAGTCATCCAAAGCAGCATCCATGCCTGACTGGAAAGAAAAGACAGCAGATATTAAATAATAAATATTGCTTGTTATACATATTTCACTTCTGTAGACATTTCGCCATGTTTTTTTTTTTTAAACCACAAACAATTATTCTATGTAGAAAGATACCAAACACAAACAGTTCTTTAAATATCAAAATAGTCTGGTCTTTGATAAACCTTATCATGTAAGGTCCAAGTGTACATATTTTCTAGGTAGGAAAGAAAAAACTACCATATAAAAACTTCAATTTTAATAAGTCTAATGACATTAAGTATATGAACAAAAGTACAGCTCATTAAAGCTGTCCAATATAGTTACAATTAACTATGCAAAGTGCTAAGAATTGTGATCACATTGCTATACACAGGAGAAATGTTTGGTGTCAGTTGTTTATAAAAGAGTTTCCTGGAGTTGTATGTACAAAGGACACTAACAAAATCTGCACCTTCTTCTAAACAGGATTTGGTGAAAAAAACAAGTTGCCTTGTGTTCTTTCAGCCATTTGTATTTTTTGTTCACTTTCTTTCCCAAGAATGTTTACCATACAGAAATCACCTGCTGGGTACTAGACTCACACGGAAGACAGTGTCACTGTGGGACATGCAATGCTGTCACTATGGGTTTAAATCAGTGGAATGAATGAAATAGTGCCTATTTTTGATGTGAACAATGATTGTAGGCGAAGAATAGCCTAAATTTAAAGGGGAAAATGATTTGGGGGAAGACCCTTTGCCTTTTTTTTTTTTTTTTTTTTGCTATGACCACATTCCCCCCCACAACATCACAATTTTAGGAATTTACTCAATCCGGTAATATAATTTGGGGCTTGTTAGCATTAGGTTGATTCAACTGCAAATTTCAAAATGAAGACATGCCTGACATTCTTTAGTGACACAGCTGGTTAAAGGAGGCATCCTGGCAGCAGAAATGGACTGTAAATTCCATGAACTGTACCTAGAGTTTCCAGAAAAGGGGTTACAACCTTAAATGCTGCAACTCAATCAACTCATACTGAAACCGTGATTCATTAAAAAGCTCTTTACATCCCCCACCTCACACTGTTTGCCCTCAGGAGATTAGATCCTGATAAGCATGCAGACCATGCGAACATATCTTAAGCAGAAGTGCACTGCCATCTTCATACCTTTCCAGATGGTTGATCGGGTTTGGATTCAACTGATGCAGCTAACAGTTTACTTTCTTTTTTCTGGTGGAGGATTAGAAAGAAATAAAAACTCCTCACATATCTTTATAAAATTCATTACCATAACATTTTAATTAATATCAATATCACTGACTATACAGTGAACATCTATTTTGTGGCAGACACTATACTCTCTATGTTGTATCTTCAGCACAGCAAAAGAAAAACAAAAAACAAAAAACAAAACCCAAAAAACTGGGCTGTCAGAAAAGTCATCACACATTTTTGCTTGAAAAAAAAAAAAAAAAGACATTGTGACTTTTCCCAACAACCCAATATTAATTTCCTTAGTGACATGGAAAGCAAGGCTCAGCAAAGTCACATTACCTTTCTTCAGGTCACGCAGAAAGAGCAGAACCAAGTTTATAACCCAGAAGTACCCAATTCTTTCTTCACTACTCTTGGTTATCTCCTCCAAGGTCCCTCAGCCAAGTTTGCCACGTCCTTAAATTCTGAGTGGCCATTTCTCCACATTTGCCCTCTTCCATATCATGTGCTTTGGCATCTCTTGGTGGTCTCTAACATGTGTTTCCTCTCCACCACTGCTTCAGTTGCTCTGTCAAATATCACCAATAACTTTCCAATCTGTAATTTTCATGCCTTTACCCAGCCAGAATCTTCTCTGAAGTTTAGCGCTGGTGAGCACACCTCTCTCTTGACCTCACTCTAGAAGCAGCCATGACCAAGCGTGACTCTGGTGTTTGTGTTCTCTGCCATCGCTTGCCCTGTGAGTGGTTCTATGCAAAATCATACTCTAGGCTGCTTGCACAGCTATCACAGCTTAGGCTTCGCCAGCCGGCAGGCAGGACTCCCAGGTCTCATCATCCTCTGTGGCTGTCCTATGTGTGAGAAGGGGTAGTGACCTTATCTGCTCAAGGAGTTGCCAAGATCAGATAAAGTAACCCATCTGAGTGGGAAAGCCCGGATCTGGGCAAATTGAGCACCATGTAAGTACAGGAAATATAAATAAGTGCTAAAGAATGATGGCCTCAATTTTTATGCTAAAAGTACTGTGGGAGCTACCAGGGTTTGAGCCTGAATCTGGGCAACAGAATCCATTTCTATGATTCAATCACAACCTTCGATGTGTGATCACCATCACTATACCCTCCCTTTTCCTATCCTGCTGTACTCTAAACGGCACTGCAAACATCTTGTTATAATTCTTTCTTGCTTCACCTCAAATACTAAAATTCAGCATCTCCCAAATGAGACATCACTCTTCCTCCACAACCAATTTCTCTTCTGACATATGTTCACAAGTCAGCAGTAACGAGCTAAGGACTTGCAGGGGAGGAGGCATCCATTCCTGCACCTGCAAGAACTTGCCTGGGGAACTCACTGGCCTCAACTTTGGGTTACCCACCTAGTTCCCTCAGACTGAGAAACAAAAGCCAGGTTATCTGAGATTGTAATTCACCTTTGTCACTGCAGCCAATCATCCCCTGCAACCTGATGATGTTAGCTCTGCAACACCTCTGATGTTATCCCTGACTCTCTGGGTCTTCCCCAGCTCCAATTTAGGCTAAACCGGGACTCAGCAAGGTGACTCAAATTGTCCCTGAACAACATTCCACTTTCCTGTCTGTATTCCATTTCATCCCACCCACTCGCACCTGCACCTCCCTCACCCATCGATAATTTTCAATGCTTATCTGCCACAATGGAATCATTACCCTGTATCAACTCACCTTAGCATACTGTGGCACACCCCAGCCCACACTTTTGGCCTTAGCATTCAGTCTCCTTCCCTTAGCTTTGCCCACACTTGTGGTTTTTGGTATCCATGATACCTCTGTGGTTTTTCCAACTTGATGTGTTTTCTTCCACAAATCTAGCTTCCACACCTAAGTCAAATTTTTTATGGATTCGCCCCAGTCAGACCAAAATCCCTGTTCCTCACCATAGATCTCCTTGTGAGAGCCTTTCTTAACCTCCCTTGAACTGTCTCTTCCTCACTCCTCAGCCTGCAGCACAGTGCCCTGAATTGGACAGCAAAGCTTTGAACAGGGTGCATGCTAAAATAAATGCGGATCTGATCACCTCATTTTAGGGAAGGTGTATCAGAAGCAAAGGAAAGTGAAATGACTTGCCACAAATCCAGCACAAGTCAGGGCACACAGATACCATAAGCCTCTCCCAATTTTACTGTTTAGTCTTCCTGATAACCCTGGCTAACTTATATCACATACAAAATTTCACATTTCAGTGACGTTTTAAAATCCACTCTAACAAATCTAATTCTCTGACTGAAATCTCTTCATTTTTCAAGCCATTTCTCTTCTCTACAGACTATCTCATCAACATGAGAGTGGTGGGGTGTAAGGATGTCTCAAGATTAGATATAAGTGGTGTCCTGTAAGAAAAGTATTTAAGTTGGGCTGGGTATTTTTACCCGATAGTTTATGTAAATGTTGCCATTACCTCACTGGATATCTGTATCCAGTTTCAATAAAAATAACGTGCCCTTTTATTTTCAAAATCTAAGAGGAATGTTTGAGATGTGCTGTACAGTCATCCTATGAGGTAGACTCTTTCCTGAGATGGTTTGTGCTGTATCCTCTGAAAACTCCTGGATCGATTTCCTGCAGTTGTCATGACCGACTATCCCTACTAATGAGCAGACAGTAAAGCTTATTCAAAGGCCCAGGGCACTAATTTGCTTGCTTTCAAACCTATACATCTTGAAGGCTAGCTCTAAGTTTCTTGGTACTAACACCAGTCTTTATACACAGTATGGGCCCAAAAACTATTCACTGAATTTGTTAACCAGTTTTAGCATCCTGTTCACTCTAAACCCTTTAGATGCACGCTCCTCTACAAAATTTCACAGATGAGCAGTACTCAGTTTTACCAAGTGGTGAGTTACTGTGGGAGCACCAGAATGCTGAACAGTTATTGAGAGCAGGACAGAAAGACAGGAGCCATAGCACTCAGTTCTCAGAGGGCCATCTGGTCAGCATCAGGCCTACAGACACCCTGCGTCTGCTGACGTGTGCTCACCTTGTCAGCTGCTTTGTCAGAGGCTGCAGCTACTCCAGCAACAATGCTCTCTTTATCAGGAGAAAGCTTGTCCTGTGACTTCATCTAAGAATGAGGGCAAAAGATGAACAGGACTAAGTATCTTTGGAAGAGAATTTTGAAAAATCAGGCATGCGTACTGAAGTAGTTTACCCTGTGGGCACCTTGGAGTGGAATGGTCAGCTACTCCCATTGCACAGGGTGCCATGTCCACCAGACTCAAAGCTAGACCTAAGAGCTTAGAGTCCCTGCAGGTAACACAAGAAGGTGGGGTCAGGTAGGGGCCACAGTCAACAGGCACATATATCCAGGGCAAAGAGAAGCCAGGTTGTTATGTGAATTTTTCTGGCTTTAATTGTTGGTAGCTAATTAAAAATCATTTAAATAATACCATAAGTCAAGCAATGTAGATTTGTACAAAAACAGCTGTGCTGCATTTCAGGGGTTGCATTTATATCCCAGATATAAACTGTATTGTTCAGCAGGCCTAGTACTTAATATTCTAATCATTGACCCCCATTTGCTCTAGACATGGAATCTGTTTCTCAGTTTGGGTTCCAAGAGGTCACCTCTTCAAGACTCTAGAAATTGTTTAAGATTTCCACACACAGAGCATATCATGCAGGGTCACGTGATCAGCCAGGAGGAGAGGGCCCGGGAAGCAGCTTCAGTTTGAAGTGTCCTCTCTGCGACACCAGAGCCTGCTACCTTTCAGTCACAACTGGGAACTGCTGGACAGTGGGGAGGACTGGATGGAATGTCCCTGTGACCACCTGACACCCTTCACAGGACATCAACAGGCCCATGTTTCCACGAGGCTATTTACGTAGCCAGTAAAACAAGAGACCTACAATAACAAGGTAGACACAGCCGAGTCTGTGTATCCACACTCACAAATGGAGGGGACCTGTATCTCTTAACATCAATCTGCTATACTTACCTTTGGTTTTGTTGCTTTCTCTAATGTAGGCTGCTCACTTGATTTAGACACTTTTTCACTATGAGCATGTTTGCTTCCTGTATCTGACCCACCCTTGGAATGGCTTTTTGGCTGGGAACAGACACAGTACAATACACTGTTAATAAGATGGCAAATACCGATACTTTTATAGGGTAGAAATTGCACTTATGCTTTATATAATTTCAAATTATTTGAAATTAAATCAGTGTGATATAAATGTGATAGAATCACTTTATATACATTTGAAATAATGTTAATATTTTTTCGGCATGTCCTGATACTGCCACATGGTGGCACCACTTTTTGCCAGAAAAACAATAACCATTGCTGGTGAAACTTAGTTCTTGCATGATCAATTCAGAATTTTACTCCACAGAGATAAACAGACAGACAGTCAGACACACAAACTGCATGTTATGATACCAGGTCCCTACCATTTACCTCTGTGTGTTCTTTTGGCTTTATTTCTTGGGTTTTTTTCTCGGGAACCACAGATGGCTGTCAAAATCAACAGACAAAATCTCAATTACCTGGAGTCCATTGTTTTCATATTTCCAAAGTGGATTAAGAAACAAATCCTGATTAATCCATCTGCCTCCCTTGGGAAAGGCCCACCTGAGTGGGCATGCACATCTGGATAACAGCATTCTTACCCAAGAGTCTGATAAGGACAATTATAAAAAAAAAATTTTTGTGGGCCCTCGCTGGTGGCGCAGTGGGTTAAAACATAGCACTAAGAAGCTGAAGCCACTTCAGCATGAGTTCGATCCCCGGGTCCAGAGGTGATCCACATGGCGCGGCAGACCTCTCCTGACCTGCCCGCTGCTCCCCTCAGCAGTGTACTTCATCAGTCGGCCTGTTGTGCTCCCCACTCTATTTCTGGTGAATCTTCTCACTGCCCCTGCACCTCTGACCTGTTCCCCATTTCTGTATGCATAAATAATCTTAAAAATTTTTTTTGGTATTTTATCTGGAAATACCACACATGTATATATCTCTAAATCATTGTGTGTGCTCACAATTCATACAGATCATTTGTAAACGCAGGTCCACCTAAAGAGTTGTGATCACTGTAGCCAGAGTTTATTGGTAAGGAATCCTATTGTAGAAGTGAATTTTTTAAATCTCCTATTAGCAGATGAACACAATAGTTTCTTCAACTTCTTCAACTAAATGATTTACATTTAACCTTTTTTTCTAAATAGTAATACAGGTATTGCCAGAAACTGACTTCAGATTGGTGGATAAAATAAAACATTTAAATATGCGATAGAAGACTTTGGCCATCTCTCTGAATTTTTCTTCTAGAGTGGACTGCAGAACTGCCATTTTCAAGGGCCACAAGAGGCCTCCCCAAATCTCATTAGCCTCACCTTTCACCCAATTGGCCTCACCCTCTTCTTCACTTAAAGTGCCCCTGCCCAAATTATTTCTGTGCTTTCCCATAGGAAACCTTGCAGCCTTATCTGAATATTTGCTAAAGAAAAGTGCAGCACCTTATTGAGGAGAAACCTCTGCCTTCCTGCAGGTACCTTGGCCTTCACCCCCAGGTAGGCACAGACTGCCGGACAGTCTAGACAGCCTGGAATTCAGAGAAAGTTGGAGCTGTCTCCACAGCGACTGGTAACTAGTTCCTCCAGCCAGGAGAAGAGGTGAAGATAAACCCAGCTGAGACTTAGGAAGAATGCTTCTCTAAGTCATTTAGGTGTGGGTTCCACAGACACAGCCTTCGATGTTCAATTTTACTTATTATCCTTTATCTTTCATCTTTTATTCCTGTTTTTTTAATCAATTATTTTACTTATAACAAGAATCTAACCTTGTATAAAATGCCTTCTAAGAGATACTGTTACTTACAAATATTATGCATTAGTTTAACAATATATGAATTTAATATATAATTATTTACGTGAACATATACTTTAATAAATATATGAATTTACATATATTCTATGTAATCATGTAGAAAATTAATTAAATTAGCTACAAAAATCCTTTGACTGTTCAATAGCACTAATGGTGGAAATGGGTATTCAGTATATTGCCAAGAATCCAAGTAACTTGCTGGTTACTTAGTTGATTTAAGTCACTTACCTTAGTTGGCTGTGACTTCTTTTCAGGTTCTGATTTCACACCCTAAATTCAGAAGCAGAAAGGAAGGAAGGAAAGACAGTAGAACAGACATGATTTACAAAGCTTATCATATTTTCTTCAACTAAGAAGCTTAAAAGATTATTTTGATGTAATTATAAACTTCACAAAAGTTAATTTTATCTTGGAGTTATAACTCATTAGATATAAACATTTATGTACACTAATATTCTGTTCATACTAACTGGATGGCAATTTATATCTTTCTCCTTGCCATGTACAGGTTTATTACTACAAACATTATCACTAATACACAAGCAAAAAAAATAAAAACACTTGACCTCCAAGTCACTAGCATGATATATCCCTTCATAAGTGACATACTCACCATGTGTTTCTGCTGACAGTGTAAAATAATAGGATGGTGATAGAGTGGAGAATGGAAGAAGCAATGAAATGTATTTTTAGTGCCAGAATGAGAGATGGATTACAGCCTACGAGAAGGGCTGTGATGAGCACTACAGGAATGTGAACTGGATTAGAACATGCCAAGCAGCTAAAGTGACCATTAGTACGTAGATATATCCTTTGTTGCAATAACCACATCACCTGTGTTTTGTGCCTTTTCTTGTGAGGCGAATGCATTCTTTCCATCTTTTTGCTCACTGGAATGGCCTAATACAAGAGCACAGCCCCAAGTGTGATTTATTTGATCCCGAAAGTCAAATAGGTAACACATATAAACAATTAAGTGTTTATATCAAAATCCACTCACTCATTGACTATATCTATGCCACACATACATTTCCAACAAACTGTAGGTGTTGAAATTCTAAGGTCTCAGACAAATGTTTCAGACTTTGGGTTTAATTTTTTTTTTTCCAGTGGAAACCTATGCTAATTTCATTACAGGTTTGCCCCACTATCTGAAAGTGGAATGCGATTCATTACTTTTGGGAATCTGGGATGTGCTTACCATTAATTTGTTGGAAAAATCTTTGCACATTCCCAGATTGCAAAAAATAGCCTATCAAAACAAGAGTATTCCATCTTTGGGGAGCGGGGCAAACCATACCTGAAAAAAATTAATTTCTGATCCCTCTCTTTTCTCTTTGTAAAATTTGCTTGGGCAATATTTATCTGCATATGTTTCTAATGTATAGTATTGATCAAAGGAGTAGTCACAAGTTTCATCAAATTCTTTCAATATAATCTTAAAACAACTTGAGTACAGCTTTTTATTGCATAATAAAAACAGAAAACAAATTTGAAGTTCTAGGAATACTTCTGCTGGTTATGATTTAAGGATCTTTAATGGTGCACTTTATAGAGTTTGACCTAATCAAGGGTTACATACAACCGGTCTCAAAAAAGATAGTTCATCAAGTACACACCTGAATTCTTAACAAAAAAAGTAGGAAAAACACTTGAAAATAATTTAGGAATTTTTCAAAGTAGGAGATTAAAAAAATCAGACCTAATTTTTTCTACTTTTTCTTTTTCTCTGATGGTAATATCAACATAAATGCCTATATTTTATTCCATTATATTTGGCCAACACCAAATATTCTCTTAATTTATCATGTTCATGTTTCATTAATGAACACACACACACTCCTTATTTTAGGAACCCTTGTTATGTCAACACAATTGTTTCAGGAAGAAAAGAAGGTCATAATTAAATACATGTCTCAAAGAAATATTTTGGATCCTTTTACACTGGATCGCTAGTGGCTTTTGTACATGCTTTGTGTTTATGCAAATACACTATTAAATGATTAATAAGAAAAACAGGCCAGCCTGCATTGTAGCTGTCTGAATCTATTAATAGTTTCTGATTTGTAACTTGGCAATCAAGATTTTGTGTGGAATAAATCTATAATACAATTAAGAATGTACGCTCAGATGCATGTAATTATGAGATGTACATTTTAATCAGTAAGCCCTTACTTATTTTTGGTGGTAGCAGTACTGTTAAACATAGTAATGTGACAATAAAAACTGATATTTACTGATTGCCCCTTCGTTCCAAGGACTGTTCTAAACTTTACATGTGTCAACTCACTTAGACCTCAAAATAATCTTCTAAAAAACAGGTATTTTTTAATGAGGATAATGACAATGATAACCAGCATTCCTAGTTCATGCATGAGCCTTGGCAGCATACACAGGTGGGTATCTCAACTGAAGTACCACAAGCTCCCGAAGATACTTGTGGTGGAGCTGGGGTTATGTGTTCTCAATCATGGCTAGTGCTCTGTCCAGTACCAACCACCATCTGCTGGACACTGGCTGTAGGGTAGTAATGACCTAATTCTATAGTGCTAAGGAATTAGAGCAAAGTGAGGTATTTCAACACTTGCTGTCTGCGTGGAACCAAGATTCCATGGCCATATGCTCTTTGGCCACGCTATAGGGCCCTATGTGACATTATTTTATCTTCCATTTAGACCCAACAGAGTGATGACTAATTCTAATGTGCCAGGAGCAGGAAAAATACAACTTGAACCTAGACACATCATCCCTCCTCAGAGTTAGATGGCTGCATTTTATAGGTACAGAGCAGGATAACAATGGTGTAGAGCGATTACTTGAGTTAACATCTTTTTTCTAATATAATAGCTCAAAACATTTGAGGAATATGCTTATGCTCACAAAAATCTACAAAAGGAGACTACCATAAATGTTATCAACCAAATACCAAAGGCAAATGAAGAGGAGATTATCAGTAGAACTGTGAGTGAAACCTACCCAGGAAAGGGAACTGAGGTCACAGTGGCCCTGAGTCAGGCACTGGGGATACTCTTCATGGGCACCTCATTTTTGTCTCTTTCTCCTATTTGCTCTCCTTCTCACCCCTTTCCCCAGTCTCAGAGGACTGCCAGGGATGCTCATGATTATTGCTTAGTGATTTGCTGACACTTGTTGTGGAAAACAAGGCACACTGAAAATAATCATTGGTTCTGGAGCTGGGGCAAGGGGTTGAATCCGGATTGGGCAATGAATGGGTCAAATACAAACCATAGCATTAAAAAGTAAAGCCATTTTTCTGGCTACCCTTTCTAGCTCCTTTCTTTTGTTTTTTATGACTCTAAGTCTAATGAAAAAATTTTGTTATATTCTTCTACTGTAGTAGAAGATGAAAGATGAAAACTTTTAAATTTAAAATTAAACATGGCATAAATAGCAGTCATAGCTAATGTGTATTTTGAAAATAATGAAGACATTAAATGCAAAACACCAAAACCAAACAAATGAAAATGAAAATGAATGCTATAAGCTCATTTATAAGAGCTTAGATTTAGACAGCATACTTCAAGATATTTGCAATGTCTTTTAAAATTCACGATGATGTCATTGGATCCCTCAATAGAATTAATGGCAGCTCAGGTTCTAAATTAAGGCCCAGGATCCTATCTATGGAATAGTAATACGGACAACAGAAAACAAAAGTGTATTGATGATTTTAAAAAGGAACTTAGCTCTTAAAGGCACTGAAGAATCCTGGCTCAGTTAATTGAGAATATGTTGGAAATCTCTTTCATTTCCCACCCCAGCATATATCCCTAAGAAACAGACCCTGAGACATAGTAACTAAGCAGCTCCAGCCAACTCCTCAGAACTTGGCTTCCTCCAGGTGGCAATACCACCATGAGCATTTTATTGTTCCTTCTGAAATTCCAGAGACTAATTGTTACATTATGCCCCAAACAGATCTGAACAAAGATGGTGTCTGACATGACTCAAGATTTCAAAAAAAAAAGTCAGAAAACTGCTCATACATATTTAGTTTCAAGTGGCTGGAATAATAAAAAAAAAAATTTAAAGGAAGAAGTTAAACTTATTTACCTTATTTAGTTCCTCAGACTTGTACTTGGATTACTTTACAAGTAAAAATTAATCAGGTACAGGACCAAAAACACTCTATTTTTCTAACTATTCTAAAAGATGCCTACATGTGCAGAGGACATTTGGGGTGAACACACATGAAAATGGAGTTGCCAAATACCCTCATAAATTAGAAAGCTAATGTTTATTTCATAATTTAAGTTTCCTGTGACACTTCTCTCTCAACAATTAATTAGTCTACCTTTTCCTTTATAGCACAATCAACTTCAAGGCTACCATCCAAGTTACCCTGAATGATGCTTTATACCTTGGTTTCTGTGGAATTCATACTGGAAGACCTACTGGTTGAAGGAGAGGAAGTTGACACCTAAAAGAAAGAGAATGCTTTTGTAAATCAAACTGTATTGCTTTACTATTCACTTTCAAACGTCTATAATGTGGAAACACAGTGTGGCACTCCAGTATGGATACATGCTTCCCCGGCCAACCACCCAAGTGCTAGTGCCATCACTTTACCAACTGACCCCAACCTTTCCCTTCCACGCCTCATCTTCACTCCAAGTAACCACCCTATTTTCAGTTAACCTCTGTGAAGAAATGAAAGATCTGATTCTAGTGAACCTATAATCTACTTTGCCCTTCAGCTGCTCTTAACCATACTTGGTCTTAACTCTACCTTGGTTTTACCTCATCTTGAGGATCACTCTTACAAAAGTACAGTAGGGGTCAGCCAGTAGCTGAAAACCTTGCAACCATGTCATATTTGGGGCGTGCTGCTTACCAAATATTAATATATTAATGGGCATATTATTTCAATTTTCTAATTTTTGGCTTCCCTGTTATCAACGTTTCCTTATAAGGTAACAACTGCCTTGTACATTTATTACTGCCTGGTACACAACAAGTCTTAACTAATTATTATTTGTTATTTTTCCACAGAACATGAACTTTAAAATGACAGAATTTGGTTCAAAAGACACCTCTGCAATTCATTGTTCTGTGACTGTTAGTTTCCTAAGTACAAAAAAATGGGGCCAATATCATCTATTTGTAAGTATTTGAGGTAATGGATGAAAAATGCCTGGCACACTGGATGGGCTTGTTAAATTACGAATGCATTACTTCTAAGATAATATATGCAATAGATGGAACAAGAGATGGATGAGAAACAGATTCAAGTAGACTGGCAATATGTTTTCAGTGTCAAGTAAGAAAGAAGGTTCTAGACGAGATTGAAGAAAGGATACTGCTGTATCACCTGTCTCACCCAGGCTCCTCCCTGGGGGGCACAGGTGATGGTCAGTAAAATTATTGAAGAATTTTTTTCCTAGGGATGCAAAGGGGTGAGGGGTCAGCCTTGCCATTTAATCATCTGAGCAATGTTTGCCTGGCACTGAGTGCTACTCCAGTACCAATGTGCACAACACCTGATAAATACTAAATAGACCTGTGCACAACACCTGATAAATACTAAATAGACCTATCTTTTCAAAGTTCAACCCAGGCTCATTTAAACCTTACTATTTGCATCGGAACCCAGGGATTCCACCTGGCTCAAAGTTGCCCTCTTCAGTAACAGTCTTTCAGTAAACAGCTGTTGTACTGCCAGCAACACCTGGAGCCCTGTCCCTGATGCCAAGCTCTGAGCTACTTCTGAGGGGAGCCCCAGGGACAAAGAGCCCATCTTCCGTCTTCCCTCTTCCCTGACCCCCACACACTACCATTCGAAATGATGGTATGAACCCATATAACCGATGGCCCAGGAATAAAAATGGTTTCCATAGATCTCACTAATGTAAATGCTGATTACAGTAAACTACCAAAATTCACAGATGAAAGCCCAAAGGTTTAAAAGAATGATTTTTTCAAACATTATCACATGAGCCAAAGTCTTCCTGAGCACTTTTAGGCATCCACTGGGCAACACCCAGTCCCAGAACACTGTCCCCTCCCCCGCCCCCAATCACTACAGCAGAATGTGGGTATTTCTTATTCTATTGAGAGAAGGAAATTAAAGATATATACCAAGCTATTTTTTTCCACCACCAAGTCAACAGAATATATGAATATTCACTGTCTTTGAGAATAATTTTTTTAATTGTGGGAATTAACAGGCTCATGTTTATGCACTTCTGTCTTTTCACAATTAGAATTAATTGCACAAATTTCCAAACTCCAGAAGTTCCATCATCCCATTAAAATCACTAGATCAAACAAAACAAAACAAAACAAAACAAACAAACAAAAAATCACCAAAGATCAAATACAATACATGAAAGAACTTTTTAAGCAGAACATCTTCAGATTAACATTATTTTCAAAACATGTATTCAAACTTTCCTGAAATCACATAGCCTGTAATGCATTGGAATGCTCTGACCATTAATTTATATAATTATAATTATATTCTGGATCCCCAAATAGCCTACCAAATGCTATAAGATAGCATCAAAATGTAGTTTGTGCCAGGTGTGACATTAGGGAACAGGGATACAGTGGTGAATAAGGCCAATCAACAGTGCTGCCCTTGAGAAAAATACGGCATCATCAGAAATGTCATTTATCATCACTTTAGAATTATTTGGGGCGAGCTTTATAAAGGAAAATGACAGGATGCCATAGAACACCAGACTAGATAACCAGAATGGGTTCAGGGGCCATGGGGGCAGGGGATGCTGAAGATGTGACAGTCAACATGGCGATTAAAGGACAAGGAGGCCAATCTTCTAGGAAGAACCTCTGAGCTGTGTGTGTAGGCCTGGGACTGAGGCCACTTAACTTCTAAACCATTGTCTCTTCGCTATAGCACCTAACACTCAGCCTGGCTTGTGAACTTAAAAGACAGTTTCAGTGCACAGCCATTAGTCCTCAAGCATCACACTGTCTTTATGAGATTTAGTGCTGCAAACCAGATTGAGTGTAGCTATCACACTATTTTCCCTACCAAGTGACCCATGCACCCTCTCGGCATTCTGAGCAATAGTCGTCTTTTATGACATTGAATTAAAGCATAAGTCTGAGTAACAAAGACCAGGAGAAATGTATCTCAATGTAATCATTTTCACTCACCCATCAAACCTTTCTATTTTTAAAAACAACAATCCACAGCTGAGGGGCTAAGATTCAATTACAGCCTTGAAAGAATTCACAAGTCAGTGAGATAAATTGACATCAAGCAGGTTTAGGCCACAGCTGAAGTGCACTAACCTAGCAATGGAGAGGATTCTCTGTGGCCAAAAGAATGTGTGAGCTCTAAGTGTTTCAGGCCCACCTCTGGTAATCTTGCTGTACTGTCCACTAGCATGAAAACAAGTCAACACTAACCAAAGAAAGTAATGGCAGCCTAGAAGAAGATTAAGACAATCCTATACTCACCCAGTATGGCATCTTATTTTCTGGCATTATTCAACACAATTGTTCTAAAATTTGTTTGCTTTTAGAGTAAGAATTTTGGAACTTTACTGCAGTAAACTATGAGAGCAAAGAAAAATAACTTTCTTAAAAATAATACAATAGTTAACCGTGTGCCATCACCATAGCTCAGTGCACATCCCCTACCTGCTCCCCATTTTTGATCCCATTCCCCGCTCCATCCCTGTAAAATGTCTCTGGTATATAGTTGTTCAGCACAGAACACCTAATAGTCCTTCACTTGCAGGGGTTCCCAGAAGAACTTCTACTTCTCTCCAGGCACTGCCAAATGACTTACAGGAATCCTCACACCGGCCTCAGCCTCTGGGCTTGTCCTTGATTACTCCTTGGCCCAGCTGGCAGAGGTTTCTAGATCACAGAGAGTGGGCCGTGGGCGCATTACAACTGTTTCGCTGTCTCTCCCCAGCCCTCTCTGGACACTCCCACTTCTTCCCACCTGCACACTACTCACCTCCACACCCTGTCTGCTTTATTTGTTGAGGGTTACCATGAACAACACTCTCCTTTTCTACCCAATAATCCACTGCTAGTTCCCTCTGAGTCATTGACCATCATCTCTTCCAAGGCTATGTAACACTAGGAGCGTCACGTTCTTCCCCATCTCTCTGGCTTGCATCCTTCTGGAAGTCTCTTTTCAATTGCTCTTCTTTTCTGTGTCCTTGAATATTCAGTCACAAACCCTCCACTTTTTCTATTACATTACTGCTCCTTCAGAAAGCTGCTTTCTCCACATGACTTTAATTTACTACATGAACAACTTTCCACATCTTAGTAGCAGCTCTATTTTATCATGACACTATACTTTTCACTTGACAGGACAAAGTCAAGAAAGACTGCAGCAGGCTCAAATTCCTGCTTCAGCACTTACTAATACACATTAAATTCACGGAGGCCCCATTTCCTCATCTGCAAAGTGGGTGTAATATCAAATGCCTTTGGAGTTGCTGTACAGGTCAAATGACGTCGTAGGGAACACATCCGGCCCTGAATCACTTGGATTAAGTTGCAGTGCTATTTCTAAAACTCATTAACACTCCATCCCTTGATCTCTTTTGACACCCACACTCTTGGTCCATTATATAATTCCCACACCTGGATTACATCAACGCTGTTTAATAGTTTCCATGCCTACTTCTCTGCTACCTCCATCACTACACCATTCTCTACACCCTGAATCCCTTCTATGACTGCTGACTCATTTACCTGAAGTAAGTGTGTACCTTGTCCTCACTGATGAAATACTCATTCTCATTGGTTTCCCATTAGATGTTCTAGATAAGCTTCAATGAATCTTGTCTGAACTTTAGACTCTCCACTACTTGTCCCAATCAATTGCTTCAATCACGTCTCACAGTGGTCCAGACAACTCCCCTCTAGCCAGGGTAGTGTCTTTCTGAATCACGCACACTTCATCAGGCAGTATAACTCGCTATTAAGAGTGTGATGTGGAGGGACAAGGAGTTAAGATTCAAGACTGGTGAAATTCCAGTTGACACTGAACTTGAACTGGGGCAAGCTGCCTAACCTTCTTTGTCACAGTCTCCTCATGAATAAAATGGGAAGAATAACAACTCTTACCGCATAGGATTGTTTTAAAAATGAGTGAGCACAGCAAGCAAGGCAGGGGCAGGATCTCTATCACTTTGAACAGACGGGTAAAGGAGAGTCCTGGAGTCCCTCAGTGGCTTTTTCAGGCTTTAACAATCCTTTTCACCAAAGCAGCGAGGCGACCAGTTGCAGGGAGGCAGGGAAGCCAAGGGGTCAGGAAGCTGGCAGACCTCCCAGCCCCTGGTGAATCTTTACTCTGGTGAATCTTTAATCGTGTTCTGACATTCTCCCACAGCCATTACCCGCTGCACACTATCCTCTGTGACGCCGCCCTATATGCTCAGTCTCTCAGCTCAAGTGTGCTCACTTACGCATGCCCACAGCACA